CATCATTTTCTGGTAATTCCTCAATGACAACTTTACCCTTTGCATTTGGTGACATGAAGTAAGTTAGTAAACTTGTCTTCCCATGCTCTGTGTACACCTCAATCAGCTTGTTATGTGCAATGTATTTAGAAAGGTTGATCACATCTTGATCATCCCCTAAAGCTCTAAGACCAAACTGAAAGTCACCATTGGGTATCCTAAAATGGTAGTATATTACTGGGGATTCATCAGCAAATTCAGAATTCCGTGGGTCTGGGTAACCTAGGTCCAGCATTATGGCATCAAGTTCATGTACAGAAAACTCATCTATGTCCACATAATCAACATAACGCACTTCACATCCAATGTACTTTATATCAGGTAACTTAGTAAATTTCTCACCGTGATGAAGCTTAATACTAAACCATGTGGGTGCACCCGCTAAAAATCAAAATTGTACATATTAACAAAGTCAAAATTTAGCATTTTTTTGTTCTAAATCAATAAGAAAATGCAAAATATGAAAGTTAAAGAAAACATAGCAACTTACCATATACGGCTGATACATCAACAACTTCATGTTTTGGTCTGATATGCCACATTACGAACACCATTTCGTATTAAACGTATGGCCTTGCATGTGTAGCGTCGATTACCTAGTTTGAATAAGCAACGAGGGTTTTTTGCAGGTTCAATGGAGCAGAAGCAAGAAGGAGGGAGTTGGGGAGTTGACGGGTGTTGGGGTAAGTAAATGAGGGGTTAAGGAGGAATTAAGCCAAAAAACGTTTATGCAAAAATGGTCCCTAACATATGAAATGACGAATTTACCCTCACATGTGAGGCACATGAGGGGGCTTAACAGATCCTACTTAACGGGAGTTAAGTCCAGGGACCAAAACCACATACAAACCACTCCAAAAGGACCATGGATCCAAAAAACTCGTGGTTACCACAGGGACCATTTTTGCAATTTTGTCTAAATAAATACCCTAAGGGTATTATAGTCATTTCAATTTTCGGAGGGACTATTTTCACATACAAACCACTCCAAAAAGACCATGAATCCAAAAAACTCGAGGTTTTGACTAAAACCCCAAAAATTTGCATACCACAGAGACCATTTTTGCAATTTTGTCTTTTTTAAATTGGCAAACCACATGGACCATTTTTGCTAATAAATTTTTTTTTGGACCTTAAATAAAGAACACCCCATTGTTACGTCTAAGCAAAAATCATTAATATACATATTAACTTTACCATTTATGTGTTACCAAGTATTTTTAAATGTTTACATGAATGGTCCCTACTTTAATACGAAATTCACAAATATGGTCCCTATGTTTCGTACATTGTAAAAAGGTCCTTGTTTAATTGTAAATTTATATAGGCCTTGGTTCGTTTAGAAAGTTTCATAGCTTTTAGCTTTTAATCGGCTGTCCCGTTTATGAATAGTAACTTTACCATTCATTTGTTACCAAATGTTTTTAAATATTTACATGAATGGTCCCTACTTTAATATGAAATTTACAAATATGATCCCTATGTTAGAAATGTCACTGTCTAATTGTAAACTTATAGAAATGGTCCACTTTTGATTTTTTTTTTTTTTTTTTTTTTGTTGTTTTAAATGCATTGATTTCAAGTTTTTTTAAGAAAACGTCTTGGACAAAGCCCGAGATACCTACTAGTTTATTAGGCTAAAGGGTATGGAAGCGGTTTTATCAATGGTAAAAATGTGACACATAGGCGCCACGTAGAATTTTACTATTTTGGCACAATTTACCTATAAGTGAGGTGTGATGCTATGTTATCCTGAAATAAAAAAAATAACAAAAAAACCTTAAATTTCCATTGACCAATCAATAGTTAGATATCATAATTTACAGCCGGTGGAATATTACCTATAAAATTTACCATCCACAAAATAAAATGTTGGGATGGTGTTTACTGCCTGTAAAGCCAGTCACGGCGGTAATTATGTAGGACATCGTCTAGTCATGATTAAATTCTCTTTCCCATATGAATTATAAAAAGAAACAAACCAGCAAATCAACATGATTGTTTTGTGACAACCAAAACCAATTAGATTGTCAACCTACAACTAATTAAAAGGTCATTATTCTTTCTTTTCTAATTTTTTATTTTTTTTATTCCGTCCAAACAAAACATGTTGAGCATCACTCTCATCATCCCCTGCATCGGATTCACAAACAAAAATAAATAAATAAATAAATAACAAATGTCAATGTCAAAAAAATATAAAAGATGATTGCTCACTATTAAAAATACAAAAAATACATGCATATATTTCAACTAAGTATCTACTTTTACAACTTTTTCTTTGACAAATTAGCAACAAAGTCGAACACCGAAAAATTATACAGAAAAAAGAATTACACATAGCTTTGATAGCAACATATTATAAAACTATCAAGCCTTATGGTAACCAACAAAATCAAGATAAAAAAATATCTCAATTTTGAAAAATAATCCCAAATAAAAATAAAATGAATGAGCTCAACTTTTCCAAGCGTAAACAAGCAACGAAAAACCAGAAGGGCCTTTTAGTTCATTCTCCTCCACACTTTCCCACTCCATCACCGATCCACATCCCGACGACGCCGACGACAACGACGACGAGGATGAACTTCCGGCCGCCGTCCTCAACATCCCTTTCTTCATCTTCCTTTTCTCGAGCCCAAAACCCAACCCTGATCCGAATCCCATCAGACCAGATCCAGATGCATTTAATCGAGCCAAGTATTTGTCATCTTCATGGTAATCGAATCCAGATTTTTCAAATCTAAACATGAACAATGCGTATCCATCGTCTACTTCTTCTTCGAATAGCCAATTGTACACATCCCACGAAATTTGAATATGAACTCCATCCATTTCTACTCGTTCGTTCCCTCTGAATTTCCAATTCAAATGTTTTACTACCAATACCCTTTTGTTATCGACGGAAAAGCATAATCTGGAGTCGTCACCACCGGCGATTCGTGTACAGTCAATGGTTATGTCTCTAGTTTTCCCCCGGAAAGTCGCTTTGGTGTTGTATTTTTTGTTGGCGATGCCGTAAACATGCTCTCGTCGGAGAATGGTGATCTGGGTTTTATCAGGGTTTGTGGATTTGACTTTGGAGTAGGCATGTTTTGTGGAGTCTCCGACGAGGAGTGCCATTTGGCCGGAGAATATGGCGGCTATGTAGAATCCTGATATGGGCTCGGGACCCGATCCGAATTTGGCACGTGAGAGATCGTAGTAGATGTGGAGGACGTCGTTGGGGTTTGTGGGGATTGAGATCTTTTTGGAGCCATATTTGTTCCAGAAAATGAAAGGTTTAATTTGGAGGTGGAAGGAAGAGGTGGAGGTGGAAGTGGAAGTGGGGGTGATATCGTCATCGGAGGTGGTGGGAGCGGTGGAGAACGGGAGGAGATGGATGTAGAGGGAACGGCCAAAGAGTGTCCTGGACCAAGTGACAGCGAAGACACCGATGTGAGTGTGGTAGAGGGTGGTGGTGAGGTTGGGTTTGGAGGGGAGATGTGGTGGTTCTGGTGGTGGTGGAGGTGGTGCTGTGGAGTGGTGGAGGGGGGTGCGGCGATGGGCGGTGATCGGAGATGAAGAGGAACGTTTATGTGATGACATGATTAATGAGCATTTATTTTGATGATTGGGAGAAATAAATGGTGGAAAGATTTGGATTTATAAAGGAGGTGGGGTGCGTGCCAACATAGACGTGTAATATATGGTAAAAGGAGTTGGCAATCATGGGTTGGTTGTTCTTAAGGCAATTTGGCAAATAAAAACAGAAAAAGGGTAGAATTATTATAAAAGTAATATAAAAAAATGTTATTTTGAATCTTATTTTTGTATCTTTCTGTTGATGCAAGGGTAGGATGATAGTACCATATAGTCCATAGACTAGACTATGCTTCTTACATTCCTTTTTACAAAAACATTATTGGTATATGTTATATATGGTAGTAATGTAAAGACAATAAACTTTACATCTTACTCTTAACGTACGATCCCATTAAAATTTCATATTAAAGAGCATTAACATTATGTTACGTACGACGTACGTTAAACATCGAACATTTTTTTTATGAAATTATACACTTGAGCCTCTAGCTTCCTATTGTGGAAACATAGAATGTGTTTGAAAAAACTAATGGTAGTTGTTTGCTAAAATCAAAAGTTGTAGCTTTTGTTTATGTAAAAATGTTTTGACAAATTAGTTGAAAGCTTTAAAAAGTGTAAAATTGCATAAAAATTGACAAAATTGCAAAAATTATCTTTGTGGTTGCTAAAATTATGTAATTTGGTAAAAATATATTTGGTGGTGCATTAGATATCTAATTTAGGATATTTTTAGTGATTTTTGTCCCTATACACTTGAAATTACTTTTATGTTCTTATAATTTATTATTTCCCCTCTACAAGACATGTCTCACCCACTCTTCTTCAAAATCACTAGAATCAAACCCCTCATTCCCATTAAAACCATCGTCGAAACTCACCACCATTAAAACCACCATCGACCATCTCTCTCTCTCTCTCTCTCTCTCTCTCTCTCTCTCTCTCTCTCTCTCTCTCTCTCTCTCTCTCTCA